TATTATTATTATTATTATCATTAGTATTATTATTATTATTATTATCATTATTATTATTATTATTATTAATATTATTATTACCTGTAAGAGGGTCCGGAGTTGTATGAACAGGATGGAATTCATTTGAAACATTAGATCTAGAACCTGAGAACTGAGTTCTACTGGCAGTGGTAGAATGTGTGGTATGAAGCAGGTGTGGTTGATGCGACCCCTCCACCTGATCGTGTGGTAAACCTGGTGTGATTGGCCTAGAACCGGTTGAAACCGGTTTCCTGGGATCTCCTCGGTTAAAGCTTGATGTCCTAGGGAAGAAGGGTTATTCTTAAAGGGACTGTAATTAGGTTTACGTTTTTAGAGTGAATCCGAGTCCCAAGCTAAGTCTTATCAAGAATGAATGTTTTCTCTTTTAAAAATGATTATTTTAAAGTGACTTGCGGATTTCTGCTTGTAGTTTACTGATAAAGGATATTAAGAGATTATGGACTAATGATACAGTACAAAAATTAAATATGCAGTACGCTTTCGGAGTACAAGTGTAAGGGGAGGTTTTGTATCTTTAATTTTACTCATGTTTCTCAGAACTGTTTATTAACGATGAAATATTGCTCTGTAAAAGACTGTAATAGCTAGTACGTCTTCCTGTGAAAATTTAATCCTGCATACGATAAAGTAGTAGTGGCTTTTAATAGTTACATGGAAAACAAATCTCCATTTAAATATTTTCAGAAATCACCCCCGGGTACTGTAATATACAGATTGACCTTTTGATTAGCGTACATCATCACTCTATAAACTATAACCTCGTTGATATAAACACAGTATACAGTATAACAACTGGAAATTACAGCATATACACACAGTATACAGTATAACAACTGGCCCGGCAAAAAATCAGAACTAGAGGAGCTAAGAGGTCACAAAGTAATTTTGCTCAAATTTGACGTTTTGAGTGAGTAGTTGTGCAAAAAATGTTTTCAGAATACTAGCACCTTCACTACTAAATATTTACCTAGAGAGACTGTTGTTGGAGATTAGTTTCTCCCGGATTTCCTCGGATTTCTGACAAATCCCTGAACTAAGGTTGGATTGGTAGCTAGACTCTATCCTGTGTCGAGTAGCGGGGGAAGCCTGGAGTAAAGACGACATTTTAAACATTCCTTTAAATTCATAACTTAATGTGTGAATACGACATTTGAACCTTGAATTGCCTGTAGAAAATGAAGTGGTGTGTAAAATACATAAAATTCTACATCTATACAATGGTTGAGAACATCAAAATAAACGTTCAAATTATGTTTTGCAAAATTACTAAAAATACATACATGGCCGGGTATTAGATGCATAAGCTTTAGTGGAAGCTAAGTACATAAAAATCACCAGGAAATTTAAGATAATTTTACTTTACCAAGAAACCCGGGGTTTAGTAAAAAATTGTATTTCCGAAAAAGTAGTTGTAGACAATTTTATCGTCTTTTGAAATATAAATTCCGCAAGTTTTTTCATGAAAACTTCGCATAGAGCAGGTGGTTATTTTACTAATTGTCCCAAGGGACTTCAAGTAACTTAACGTCCCTCTGTCAGGGGAATCATGGGTGGGTAATGTTGGTCAAAAAGTTTAAACTCTACAATTATTTCAGTTCAGTCCAAGGTCTTATACTATTATTATATTATACAATCTTGGTTCAGTCCATCAAATTGCATAATACTTACATCTCTAGAGGAGTTATGAGAAGAGAGATTGTTAAGCAGATGATCAAGATCATTTATATTCTTCTTTATAGACTGCTGGGTGTTAGTCGAGGATTGAAGGCCATAATTAGAGGACTGGAGGCCATGATTAGAGGATTGGAGGCCATGACTAGAGGAATGGATGCCATGATTTGATGACTGGAGGCTGTGGTTAGAGGACTGGAGGCCATGAGTTGATGATTTCTGAATTGAGCTTGAGGTGGAATACTCATACCTACAGAAAACGTGAGAAGGTTCAAATTTTATTTTATTTTGTTCAACTTTTCCATAAACCACCATTTTACATTTTCCTTAGCATAAAAATTCTTTAAAGTAAAACATATCGTTCTTGACAATTTACCAATTTTCTGCCAAACTTGATTTACCTCGTTATAAATTCCTCCGAAAGGGATTGTTTAGTGATTTAAAATAAAAATTTTAACAAAATGAAGTATGATTTTACACTAAAACTTAAGCTTATCTTGCATTAATCTATAATAATAAGTAGTAATCACTATCTGTTAGTTTGTTTGTATGACCGACCATAACTCAGGAATCCCATGACTGATTTGCCTCAAATTATGAACTCGGGAGAACCAAGGAAATGTTCTTAGCCTGGTTTTGAGATTTTAAATTGAGTGGGTCACCTTTTGTAGGGGAAAAAATCGAAACCGTAAACTAAGACCAAGCGCGGGTAAACGGTGGGAGTAACTTGGGCAACGCTGGGATTCGATGCTATTAATCTATAACGCGATATTTTTAAAAACTGTAAGTACAAATTTCAATATGGAGAACAGTCGCTTTAAATTCCAGGTTTTTCAATTTTTTTACCTTTCACTGGAAGTGACTGAAGTATGGTTTACAGATTTAACTTTCTCAATACTTGACAGATCAGATACAAGACTTTTAGGCAGGTTTCCCACTAGCTGTCCACCTGCATTAAGAAATAGTTTTTTTTTTTTTTACATTTGAATTTTTAGTTTTGGTTTTTGTTAGAGGCTAGAACTTTTCAGTTAATTAGCCTAAACAATGTATCCACATGGAAAACTTTTTCGTTGGCTTTTATTGGCCAATTTGTCTGAATGTTCAAAACTTCAGAGTTCTTTAAAAGGAATTATTTACTCTTAGATAAATGTATCTAGGAACTTACTTAATCCATCGAAATCTGATGCACATTATGACTTTTAGAAGGGATTAACAAAATTAAAGTTTTTACCTTTTATTTTTTTTAAAGTTATAATCGTTTTTGTTCGGAATCCAAAACTAAAGAATGAAAAGTTACAGCTTAAATGCCGCTCGTGACTTAAATTAAATCTTAACTTTAAGCTATAGATTAAAAATTCAACTCAACGAAATTGACGAGTTAAATATTTAACCCATAGAAAAATTGTATTTTATATTAATCAATCATAATTCTCTAGATAATAAGGTTTCCGTATTGATACAACCTATTTTTATGATGTATTATATGAGTCTGGGATTAACTTAACCCTGAATTAATTATTTTACGACTCTGTTAAGCAATAACTAAAAACTCTCACATTCTTTAGTTTTGGACTCTGTTTATTAATTTCTACCTCTTATATCCCCATCTCCCTGATGTTTACTAACAGATGAAAACTCATAACTTTGTCTAAATTGTAATTATAATTGTAACCATTGATAAACAATTATAAAAATGTTAATATAAATCAAAAACAATTATAAACATGGTAATATAAATAACAAAATGATAGTAAAAAAGCATTATGATGAACAAACAGATTTAATATTTTAGATATTTTTCTTTATCATTATTAAAAAACTTACTTTGAGAATTTTTGCCCTGGTTTAGATTCGTCGTAAATCTAAAACAGAAGTTTGATAAAAATAAAGAAAAGCATGCTATCTAGCCTCTACCATGAGCTATCAGGATTTTGCCAACTAGTCCTTTTAAACTGAATCTAGAGCCAATTGAATTGCAGGTTTGAAATGTTTAGGGTTGGTTAGGTAAAGCTGAAGCCTAAATGTCGAAACTTTTATATGAGTATCATCAATCTTAAACTCTCGATCTCGATATCCAATCCAATGAAGGCATTTTTAAATTAGAGGATAAATTCTTGATCCCCCAATCAACGTTATTCCTGTAGGGATGGCCACGATATGATATTGTGAAAGAGGACAAAAATTAAACCGTAGGATTGTACAAGATGGAGATCAGTGAACCTGTTTCTCTTGGTATGATGTATTCTGCACAGTAGCGTGCAGGTCATCAAGCATACTATCCAGCTGGTTATCCCACTGTGCCATTCTCTCTGAAAATTATTCAAATTATTAAAATTTTTCTTTATACGATTTTAAAATAAAAAATAAATATTATATTTTTATTGAAGTCTTGTCTAAATTTCAGAGCGTACTAATGTAGTAATATTCGTTGATGAAAGGAATTGAATTGTTTACAGGGACTAGCAACGTTGTTTCACCTGACCCTCCATTTAAAGAGTTGCAACGCAAAATTGATAACGTCCATCACTGAGTACTCTGTAACAGTGCCAAAGAAGGAAACTGTCAGAATTTATCCCTTTTCCATGTAGAAATACAACGATCTTTGATCATATAAACTATAAAGGTTTAAAGGTTGCTATTGTGAATCGGGCATGGAACTCTTCGAATTAGGGATCACATAAAACAACGTAAACAGTCCCTTTTATGAGAACAGATGTAACATAAAGTTAGGAACCTATGCTGAGGTAACAGAAAACGCCCACTTAAATATATTTCAGGATTCAACTCACTTTAAATAAATATAGTTTATCAAACACTGGTGTGATTAGAAACCTACTGTACTGCCTATGAAGAGGATTAAAACTAGAATAGATTGTTAAAAGGAACAGTACACGATGAGTCATCTAACTGGTTTATTGTTCCCCCCCCCCCCCCTCCTTGGTCACTTCAAGGTCGTATAATCCAACCATGTGTCTTGAGGTTGACATCTCCTTTAACTTTCAGGTTTAAAACATTTAACTTTTTTGTAAATTCTTCACGGTATAATAAATTGTACGGTACATATTAGTGTAGTTCACTGTACATAACACTGGTTCGTTGTACCATGTGCATCATGGAGTAGAGATGTATTAAAACTAAGAATCTGTTTAAGAATGGGCCAGGCCAACCAGTAGATATATATCCAGGTACCCCAGGATAAACACACACACCCAGCCTAAACCATATTAGGCAGCTCTCCGCTCAATATATACAGGAACATGCAAAATACATAGACCTTAACCAGATGTTTAAAAAGAAAAAATATCCCTGTATATTCTGAATCTCCCTGTATATTCTGAAAATCTCTCTATATTCTGAATATCCCTGAATTTTCTGAATCTCCCTGTATATTCTAAATATCCCTGCATATTCTGAATCTCCCTGTATATTATGAATATCCCTGTATATTCCGAATCTCTCTGTATATTCTGAATCTCCCTGTATATTCTGAATCTCACTGTTTATTCTGAATCTCCCTGTATATTATGCATATCCCTATATATTCTAAATCTCTCTTTATATGCTGAATCTCTCTGTATATTCTGAATCTCTCTGTATATTCTGAATATCCCTCAATCCCCCTGCATATTCTGAATCTCTCTGTATATTCTGAATCTCCATGTGAATTCTGAATCTCGCTGTATATTCTGAATCTTCCAGTATTTTCTGAATCGCACGGTTTATTCTGAATATACCTGCATATTATGAATCTCCCTGTATATTATGAATATCCCTGTATATTCTGAATCTCCCTGTATATTCTGAATATCCCTGTATATTCTGAATCTCCCTGTATATTATAAAGAGTGGAATAAAACATTAAAGATAAGACAAAAAAGTAACAACATGTAAGTTTATGAATATAGTTTCAGCACCATTTGGCGCTACAGATATAAAATAAGATTTTCTTTTTAAACCCATTGAATTGTTGCATGTACACATTAAAGTCATCTAGAAAATTGTTTTTGCTCCGTATTTTGTAAATCTAAGTATTTCATCCATAAAAATATTGTGCAAAAAGTCGTCTTCCTAATTTTCCTTTCTAATTTGATCTAAACGTACTGAACGATTTGTGTAAAGGAAACAAGTATTTGATGAAATAAAATTGGATGTTTTTTTAGTAACTAAAATATTATTTTGTAGGTTAAAAGCATTAAATTTTGATAATTTTGATAATTCACATAATAGTTTCCTATGACCAGAATATTTCATTGATTTTTTTTATGTAAAAGATGGATCCCATGTCAAGCTTTGACATCCGTCTTGTGTTTACATTCTCGCTCAGAGACAGTACACTGCAGTACAAAAGATGTGTACACTTCTGAAATAACTTTCCTTGCATTACATCCTTGTATTTATAGATATTATCTATATATAATAGATTAAAGGAAATTAAGGAATTTATAACAGTTACAATTTGAAATGAAAAATTTATAGATAAATTTCATTGGTCCTTCCTGTATTTGAATATGAATTTGAATGTCATAACTTACCTTATTTTGATGAAGACCTATAATTGGTGTCAATCGATCGTTAGTGTTGCGTAGAGATTTCTAAACTCATAGAATTTTTAAAGAGAATCTCCAAAATGATTGAATAAAACCTAAAAAGTAAAGAGATGGATAGATAGAGATAGATATATAGATAGATAGATAGATAGATAGATACATAGATATATAGATAGATATATAGATATATAGATATATAGATAGATATATAGCTAGATAGATAGATAGATAGATAGATAGATAGATAGATAGACAGATAGATAGATAGATAGATAGATAGATAGATAGATAGATAGATAGATTACTTGGTGAGAAAACGGAAGTGCCCCAGGACAAAACGATTTCATTGTTTAAAGATTCACTAAAAACTGGAAATGGTATTTCTTTCATTCTTTAATCGTAGGAATTTAGGGGAGTTTAGGTGATTTTAGGAGAATTCATGAGAATTTATGAGGGTTCAGGAGAATTTAAGAGAATTCAGGAGAATTCAGTAGAAAAACTAAAAACTTAAAGTTAGAAAAATTTAGAAGGGCTAAAAAACTTTAGAAAACTAAAAAAATCTGAGAAAAAATTTAAAAAATGGGGAAAACTATTAGGTTTTTAAACAATTACAGAGCGTCCTATATCATATTAGATTATCTCCAAGTTTTAATGCCAAAAAACCATAATACTCGGAAAACCTAGCATTTTCCGCAAGAAAATTCTTATATTAGCCTTATTCAAATTTTGAAAATATTCAATCTTCTTAAATTATCTGATTAGTACCAAAAATAGTAATTTTGACCGATTAACGAGCTAATATGCTGTGGGACACCCTGTATAAGGCAACTCAACGAACCATATTTGAGGAGTTTTAAATCTTTTCCGGATATATTCCGTGACGACGGAAATTATTTCCGGATAAATTCCGTGACAACAGAAATAATTTCCGGATAAATTCCGTGACAACGGAAATGATTTCCGGATAAATTCGGTGACAACGGAAATTATTTCCGGATATATTCCGCGACGACGAAAATTACTTCAGCAATCTTTCTTGAAGCTGTTTCAGAATGCAAACCTGTTTTTTTTAATTGGGAAATTAAAGGAAGAACCTTTCTTAACCAAGCTATGATAATCTACCCGAAGAGATTCACAGAGTTCGACGCGACTAGCATAAAGGATTGAGTCTAGAATTTTCAAATCTCTATATCTTTGCAATACTAATAGTGTAAACATTTGATATTTCATACTTTAGAATTCATATTGATATTGCAGGGTTGCAAAGATATTGAGATAAGAAAATCAAAAGACTTAATTCCTTTTCGAAGCGATTTTTCATGATCAATTAGATATATCGTACATAGTTCTATGTGTGACTTTGTGGCTTTTATGGAATCAATCATCTGTATTTTGGTTAGATGAGGTTTTTAAAGCTTTTTATTCTTGATAGCTCCAGAAAAGGACCCGTAAGTTATTCGTTTGCAATGCAAGTAACAATTGAAGACGTGTTCAGTTTCTCTCTCTTAGGAGGAACATGAAGAGAAGAATAGTTTTACAGAATACAAACTAACTTATTTTGACCTTGTCTAGATTAGGGTAATATACTGTTCAACCCAGAGCTTCGCGGAGTCATTGAACAAATTTATAAAATGCCGTTTTCTAAACCTACTCTTTAGGCGCGTACACAGGATTTTAGCCATGGGGGGGGGGGCAAGATTTTTGTTGTTCCCCCCTGGCTGTTTCCCCCCCCTGGAATTGTTTTTTTTCAAAAAGTCAATTAACACCATAACAATACATCAAAAAGACTACATTTTTTGGTGTTACTAACCTTATAGAGTCTACAAATTATTCCTTTGCTCGAAAAACTAACTTTAACTTTTTAACTTTATAAATTTATAAAGGAATTCACTTTTTGTAAAACCCATATCTTCGGAACCTTATGATGTAAACCTTTGATATTTCAAACTTACATTATTTGATCTAATAGCGTTTATAGTTTGAAATATTAAAGGTCTACGACTTTGGGTTTGAAATTAGAAAATCATAGTTTGTGGCAAAAACTCAATTCCTTTATCATTTTACTCCCTCACTGCTAGCTAAATCAATAATCACAGCATCATAAAAAAATTATATTTTCACTAATAAACGAAATTTCTTCTGAAATTTTTAGATAGAATTTACTCCAACTTCATATTCACTAACTCTTTTAAAGCTTCAATTTTCTGGGATTTGCTTGCACAAACATTTCAATGATTTTTTCAGTAGTGAGCCATAAGTGCAAGATCGTTAAGTCTGCTCTCCGTCATAGTACATCTTATGTAATGAAGTATTCTCTTTCCTTCATTCGATGTTATTGTCATCATTGCATAAAGGGGAATTTGAAATTACGCTTAATATCTCTTTATGGAAATAAAGGAATTGAGTCTTTGCCACAAACTCTGATTTTCTAATCCCTATATCTTTGGAACCAAATACTGTAGACCTTAGATATTTCAAACTATAAATTCTGTTAGATCAAATATTCTGAATTTAAAAATATAAAAGGTTTACAACATCAGGTTTGTATATTTGAGTTTGTGCCAAAGACTCAATTCCTTTATTAATTGACTGTAAGAAAAATAGAAAAATAGAAAATAGAATACCTTTATTACATCTTCCATCATGTTATAAGCATCTAATATGTCGAGGTCTCGTTTTTGCAAAAGTTTTAGTTTAAAGTATCTTAAAATTTTGTATTAACAGTGAATTTAGACAAATCCTTAGTATTTGTCATTGT